ATATGTATATGTATATGTATATGTATATGTATATGTATATGTATATGTATATGTATATGTATATGTATATGTATATGTATATGTATATGTATAGAATTTCACCAGAATTTTCAAGAAATGCAAAATGAGAACTTTATCTGGAAATATCCAAAATTGAATTGGGAAATCTGATGAGCACCAGCCAATAGAAGTTTGCAGATTTCGGGCCTGCTGTGCAAATGGAATGTGAATCTCATTTAATTTTATTAATAATGAAATATAGTTCATATTAATAATTTCCAGATGCATAATTCAGGTTTGTTGCGTAGTAAGTGGTAAGACCTGGCCAAGCTTGTTTGGCTTTGGAAGTAGGCTGGATGGGAGACCACCAGGAAATCCCAGGTATATTTGTAGATTTAAAAAAATTGGATCGAAGTAGTTCTTGACTTACATTGATTGTCCAGTTACAAAGGCACTATAAAAAGTGACTTACGACAGTTTCTCACATGACCGCTGCAGCATCCCTGTGGTCATGGCCAAAATTCAGACTTGGCAACTGACTCATCTTTATGACCGTTGCTGTGTCCCAAGGACATTTTTGCAATCTTCTGACAAGCAAAATCAACAGGGAAGCCAGATTCATTTAGCAATCGTGCGCCTAATCTAACAACTGCAGAGATTGTCTTAACAACTGTAGCAAAAAAAAGTCATAAAATGAGGCAAAACTGATTTTAGCAACTGTCTTGCTCTACAAGGGAAATTTTGGGCTCAATTGTGGCTGTAAGTCGAGGATTACCAATAATTGTAAGTGATTTCTCCTTTACAGACTAAACACAGCTATAGCGGCAACAGTTTTGGGGTGCCCCAGAGGTCACATATGAGTCTGAGCATTACTAGAGGGCACCTCAGGTCCAAATTGCTGCTTTCCAGGTGTCATACATGATTCCAGGTGTGGGAGTTGTAGATGGATGAACAGCCAGACTCATGGAAGGTGATGGGAATCATAATTTAGAGACTTGGATAACAGCAGGTAATAATGGGAACTGCAATCCAACAAGAGGAATGAGAGATCTGGATTAGGACATCGGGAGAACACTGCTGTGCTGGGGATGATGGGACCTGCAGTTCAGCTGAAAAAAAGGGTGGTGCTGAAAGAGGCCCCACCAGCTCACGGGAGGAGTCTTAATGTATTTGCAGGAAGCCAGAGAGCAGCCGTGCTTGCTGGCTGTGCATAATGGGACTTGCAGTCCAACATGGAATATGCTGATTAGTACATCTGGGGCGCGATGCTGTGCTGGGGATAATGAGGAGTGTAGTCCAACAATAAAATGAGTGGTGGTAGTGGAGGAGGCGAGAGAGACCCCGCCGGCAAAGAAGTCGCTGAATGCAAGATCGCTGAGGAGTGCCGGCTGGGGATGATGGGATTTGGAGTCCGACAGATCGAAAGGAGGTGGGAGGGGGGAAGAAGTTCAAGCCCTGTCCCCACTGCGAGGGGTGCCTGGGGGATGATGGGAGCGTTGGCTGGGGATGATGGGAGGGGTAGTCCTCCGCCTTCCCAGCCGCAACTTGCAGCGGCTCAATCTTCATCTCCGGCCGCGGAGCGTGGGAACCGCCCCCTCCCCCCGCCACCACAGCCGCCGGAGCGCTTTTGATTGACAGGGCCGCTCGGCGCCCCCATTGGCAGCAACCGCCTCTTGAGTCCCGCCCTCTTCGCGCGCCGGGGGGGGTACGGCGGGAACTGCGCAAGCGCAAGCATCGTTGAGCGCGGAACTCGGGCGCTAGGGAAGCCGGGAGTTGTAGTCTGGAGAATGGAAGCGGCTGTAAAAGCGGGCGGAGGCGCCTCATTCCCTCTTTTTGTGTGGGGCGGGGGTGCTATATATTATTTTATTAATGTTAATAGACAAAAGCTCAAATACTTCAGAAATAAGCCAGGAGAGCAACGCTGCACACCTCTCCCTCGTTTTCCCCCCTGTTCGCATACACACGTGTAACTAACTACACGTGTCAAGGCAGATCGTGTGAAACTGCTTTAGGCGTTGTTATTAATTTTTTTCTTTCCACTCGTTTTCTCACCGAGGGAGGAGATCTGCCACCTTCAGCTGGTGGGGTGGTGGTGGTGCAACCTGTATCAGCCTGAAAAATCTGGCTTTCCTAAATGGAGATCCAGACAACCATTGTTCCCTGCGCAAAAACAACTTTTTTTTTTGAGCCCCTTGCTGCACCTTTCAGTGGGATGATCCAATCCCAGAGCGGGAAAGGACCTTAGAGGTCATCTAGTCCAACCCCCCCCCCCCTTGCCCAGGTTAGGAAAGTGAAAGCCAAAGTAATTATGTTAACAAAATAACAAAACCCACATCATTTGCCTATCAAAAGGTTATGTACCCTTTTGAAAACCTGAAAAGGTAGAACATTCAAGACTTAAAAACCCAGGCTCTTCTGTTGCTGCATGGCTTTGCCAACTTTTAATATTCCAGATCTATTTCAATGAGTTCTGCCTTGAGTGTGACTTCAGGTAGTCCTCAATTTACGACCACAACTGAATCCGAAAATTTCTGTTGCTAAAGAGAAAGTTAAGTGAGGGGTTTTTTTGCCCCCATTTTACGACTTTCTTGCCACGGTTCTTAAGTAGCATGGTTATTAGCGAATCTGGCTTACTAAAGGGACTGGGAGCTTTGCAGCCAAAATAAAATTCCTTCCTCCAAGGTCATCTTACCGCAGCACTTGGACGGGGTTCACTACGAGGAATCTTCTTTTGGGATAATTTATTGAGGATGCGATTTGGAACCCTGACAATTCCGTTAGCATCTGACCCATTAGCATTTTATGATTCCTGTTGATTGCTTTTATTTAGCATCCGATGACTGAGCGTGGCATCTTACGATTTAGGATCATTGTATTTTATGATCATGATTTATCACATGTTGCTTGTACGTGCACTGCAGTGGTGGGGTCCAGATCCTGGTGCAAATAGTACGGTGCAACGGGGCCGGCCGTCCACCACATGCAACGCTTGGCGAGGCTGCAGCTACTCGGCGGAGCGTCGCGCAGGAGCCGTACGCTCGTGCGCGTAAGCCCTGATAAGCTTAAATACAGGTAAGGAGGGCGGGCGGGCGGACCCTCCGGAGCACCGTACAGGAACAGTATCTGGTGCTCCCAGCAGGTGACGGTCGCCCGTACCGGGGTGTACCGATCGTATCCCACCAATGGTGCACTGAGAGCTTCTGCACCGGAGGCAAATTCCTTGTCTGTGCCCAATCACACTTGGCCAATAAAGAATTCTACTCTCTTACTAATTTGCAAATAATTTAATATTTTGACATTCTAATATTCTAATTTGGGCCCACAGGTTTAGATGACTCTTAATTCCCCTGTTCATGCCGAAGCAAAGCAATTTAGAACAGTGTTTCTCAACCTTGGCAACTTGAAGATGTCCGGACTTCAACTCCCAGAATTCCCCAGCCAGCGAATGCTGGCTGGGGAATTCTGGNGGGGTTAGGGTAAGGTTTTCGCGTTAATTTTAAATTTACCGCTCACAGTGTGCTGTTTTCGTCGCGCTGTGATGACGTCATGTACGCGCTTTCGTTGAGCGCGCTTTAGACTACCGCGGATTTGTGGTGGAACCCAGCCCCACTACGGTTGAGTGTGTGTTGTGTTTTAACGTGCTTTGTCTTCTACCTTTTAAACTTTTTAGCATTTCTAAATTGTCTTTTATGTAAGCCGCCCGGAGTCCTTCGGGATTGGGCGGCCTATACATTTATTAAACTGAAACTTTCCACATTGCCATTCAGCTTCCTATAATGACTGGCAGCAGGGAACTCTTACCTTGTTGATACCTGTGCCGGTGGTAATCCTTCAGCTCTCCAAGCTGGCCTCCGGGGACGATCTCCAGAGGGTTGACATCCTTGTGGGCAATCAGCCTCCAACCCATAATCTTCACTCTGGGATCTGCAGTTAGAATCATGGCTTTGCCAGCCTGTTGCAAACTGTCTGATGGTTCTTTTGGAACGACGGCCCAGACAGAGAGGTCGGGACAGGGCGAGATGTCTAATTTCCTGCGGATCTTATAGAGCTTCAGGTGTTTCCGGAAGGAGTCCAGGAGACCCGCATCGCATTCCAACAAGACGCGCGGTTCTTCTTGCTTGTTTTCATGGAGCCTGAAAACCGAAAGGAAGAATTTGACAACCTTCGTGGGGAAACCTAATTCTATTTCCTCCCTCTACAAGCAGGGGGCTTCCAAACCTGGTGATTTTAAAACTGGTGGACTTCAATTCCCAGAATACCTTTGAAAAGGTGAAACAGAATACTACAAGATCTGGAATAAATTTTATTGATAGTTGGAACAGAAAGGAGGGATCTAAAATAAGAAACGATTAAGATTAGTATTATGTATGTAACAGACTGAAAGTGGATAAGATAAACTTGAAAACAATACAGATAATAGTAGGGTGTCTTTATATTTGTAAATACTGAATAGACCAAATGTAAATAAGCAAGGTTTATATGATATCTATCTTACATTTTAGTATTTATGGCAAAGACACAGCCAGGATTGTTAACAGTGTCCAATGTTTTATTGTCTGCTAAATAAAAATTCCCTCAGTTAGCTGGGGAATTCTGGGAGTCCATTTAGTCTTAAAAGTTGCCAAATTTGGAGATCCCTGCTCTTAAGTGCAAGTTCCTCTCCCGGTAAGATAATGTGCTAACAATCTTAGGCTGTTTCCTGCAGAAGGATAGGCCAATGTGTTATGAAAAGGTACTGTGTTTAGGGATTGCTTGGTGGTCTCTGATCTTGGTGCTTTGCTTATAGATGTTTCAGAACCCAGCTAGGGAACAAGAGGAGGAGCAGGAGGAGGAAGATGGTGATCTGGGGTCCTTGGTCCTCTCCGAGCTTGGTTGTTGTTTTACAGACCTTTCATAACCCAACTAGGTAACATCATCAGCATTAAAACGGAGTGGGCTTCTAGCTATGTCAACACTGGATGGCTTTCAGCAAAATAAAATAAAAAGATTAGAAAATGATACAAAACAACTAGAAAGCAAGAAAGACGAAGGGAATTCATGAAAGCCTTCTTTTTCATCTGCATTGAGTGTCACGTAGAATGGGCTTTGTAATACCTGCAATATGGGTTTCGTAGTACTTTTGCACTGGCTAACTCCAAAGAGTTTCCTTGTGTTTTCATTTGCGTTGAGAAATAAGGCAAATTAAAATGCAAGAAAAACCCATTTTAGTTATTGCAACAGTATTACAAAACCCATATTGCAGGTATTACAAAGCCCATTCTACGTGGCCCTCAGCCATCCGTCTTTCCCAGAGCTCGGAAACGAGCCCTTCACTACAACTCCCATCGTCCCCTGCCGCAGATGGCGGCGGATGACGAGCGTCGCATTACGGCCCCGGCTGAGGAGTAACCGTACGCACCTGTACGCGATGACGTCATAGAGGCACCTCCCCTGGACGTTGAGGGCGTGTGCGTAAAGCGCGCGCGGCGCGGCTCCGCCCACCTCTTCGAAAGGGGTCACGTCATTGGTGAGGAGTCCTTGGAGGAAAGGGAGCGTCTCGGGGCCTTGCAAGCGGAGGAGCGCGCGGTGGCTCAACGGGAAGCAAACGGCGGTCACCCTTATGTCGCCGCCGCCGCCACCCGAGTTCCGCAAATTCCGCGGGAGGCCCCGCCGCAGCGCCGCGCTCGCCCTCACCAGCATGGCGGCCTGGCGGAGAGCGCCCAAGGACCTGGAAAAGACCTCGGCGCCGCCATCTTGTGTATGGTCGAAGGTGGAGCGAAAGGGCGTGAGGCCGCTTTAGTCAAATGCGCAAGCGCAGAGGCCCCTTTAGTTCATTCCTTGGCCAACTGACGCAAAGGGGGTGTGGCCGAGCTCCGCAGGTGGCTCATCATTGGCCGAGTGGTCCTTCCGGTCCCTGCCATCCACGTACTGAATGCGGAAGGGACTTGGAGCCTTTATTCCAAAGACATTTTATCGCATATTAACATTTCACATAGATTAGTGAAACATATCAACCTTTAAATGTGAGAACTATTATGTTCAAATGCCAATGTCTAGGGCAGATGTCTTCTAACTTGGCAACTTTAAGACTTGTGGACTTTTAACTCCCAGAATTCTCCAGACCACAAGTATCATCATTTAGCTAGGCTGTCTGGAGAAAAACAGATAGTGGATCTCTTCCAATACATGGCATAGAAAATATCTGGAGATTCTCAGTGATCCAAGCTATGGCTGTTCCAGAGGTGCTTCTTCCAACGGCAACCGGGCCTCTGTTTTTCCTTGAAGACTTTTTGCTTCTCATCCAAGAAGCTTTAGTTCTGAATGAATGTGGTGAGTGTGTGTGTGTAAGGATTAGTTTTGACAGCATCCTACCATCCCCTCCATCTTCCAATCAGAACTGATGAAGCTTCTTGGGTGGAAAGTGAAATGTCTTCGAGGGGGGGAAAAAAAGTCCAGTTGCTTCTTGGAAAGCACCTTTGGGACAACAGTTCCATTTAATGACCATTTGAAGTTACGACAGCATTTACGAAAGTGACTCATGACCGTTTTTCATGCTAATGACCATTGTGTTATCCCCATGGTCATGTGGATCAAAATTCAGTCAGCTTGGCAACTGGTTCATATTACGGTTGCTTTGTCACAAGGTTATGTGATCCCAATTTTGACAAGCAAAGTCAATGGGGAAGCAGATTAACTTAACCGTGTTACAAACTCGGGGGGGGGGGAAGAGGTCAGAAAATAAAACAAACACACAAATGTCTCACTTAGCAACATTCACGTTGGGCTCAGTTGTGGCCGTAAGGACGATCTGTACACAGACAGTTTGCCTTTCCTTATAGAGCTTTGGGCAGAATGCAGAGAAGTCCCACAGGTGCTTTTTCTTCAAGAGGCAAGTGGACTTTCTGGCTTTTTTTTTTTTTTTTGAAGATGTTTCCAAGATGTTTTCTCAGCTCTGATTAGATGGTGGAAGGAAGCTGTCAGAATTAATCCTATGATTTTTTCCCCCTTTCTACAGCAGAGGTGGCCAATCTTGGCAACTTTAAGAATTGTGCAGTTCAAATCTCAGGATTCCCCAGACAAATTGCTTAAGGTTGAACACCCTTGATCTATATTGAATTTCCATAATCAGGGAAGTGTAGGAAGTTAGAAATATATATATCTCCCCCTCCCCCCCCCCGTGTTTGATTGCCCAGGACCTCAAGCCATGTGGTCCTGTCCACCATTAAACCATCTTTCCAAGCAGCCTCCGTGTTTCCAGGGTCTTTGTCCCCACTTGGAGCTGAACCCAGATGGACATTTCTTCCAACACCAGCAAACTTTCCCCCCCCCCCTTTAAATTTTTAATTTTTTGTTTGGCAAAGCTTGCTTTTTTGGCAGTGATAAAATGAGCATGACTGCTTAGTCACAACAGCACTCAAACATGATTTATGACCGACCCTGAGAGTTTATGATCATTGCACCCGCCCCACGGATGATGTGATCAAAATTTAGGCACTAGGAAAACCAGCATTATTTACAATGGTTGTAGTGTCTCAGGATCATAGGATCTCTCTTTGCAACTTTCCCAGCTGGCTTCCAACGAGCAATACTTAATGGGGAGACCTGGATTTACTTAAACACCACATGAGTCGCTCAATAACTATGGTGATTCGCTTATCAACAAAGCTGCCAAAGGTTGTAAAATGGGTGTGACGTTTTGTGTGCTTAGCAATGGAAAATGGGTGTGACGTTTTGTGTGCTTAGCAATGGAAAATCTTAGCAATGGAAAAATAAGTCCTCAACTTATGACCAACTATGGTCATAAGTTGAGCACTACTTGTAAAGTGAATGGGATGTATACCTGCAAAGTGAATTGGGGGGGGGGGGCAGTATACAATTCTGATTCCAGAGTTGTATACTGCCCAAGAGGTGCGTGAATCAATGTCTGTCCGTCTATCCATCCATCATCTCAGTAGCACTTACACTTATACACTGCTTCATAGTGCTTTACTATGCACTATGAAGTGGTTTACAATGCACTTAACAATGTGGATCTTCATTTTACTGACCTTGGAAGGATGGAAGTCAGAATCATCCTTGAGCTGGTAAGGATCGAACTGCTTGCAGTCAGCAGAGTTGGCCTGCAATGCTGCATTCTAACTTCTGCACCACCATGGCTCAGCTATCCATCTGTCTGTCTGTATCTGCCTGTCTATCCCATCCTTCCATCCATCCATCTTTATCTAATAATCTAACCTACCTATCCACCCAATCCACTATCTAACTAACTCTTTTATATCTCTCGTCAGTCTGTTAGCAGTTGTGGCTATTCAAGAATGAAATGAAAACCTTTGTTTGTTTCTTTCCATTTTTATTCTTATTTCTATTGAAACTGCTAGTTATTCCTTGGGGCAGCATGAAAAAAATCACAGAGACACTCAAGATGCAGTAAATTGGCAAAGTTTGGGAAATCGGATTCTATGCAATACTTAGAAAAACCTTTCCCCTAAATAAATGCACCACCACATCCGGAATATGATGAAACAAAAGGAACATTTTGTTCCGTTTTTATTAGTACTGAACACTGAACATCCAAAAATGTTTACTGTTTGTAAATAATGGTTCCACATACAACTTGTAAATAGCATTTACAATGAGACATTAGGGATCTACAACATAGTTTCTGGCTGCGTTCACACAAAAGATTTAATATGACGAATTCATCCATTTTCTCAGCTCAGATAATAATTCTCAAGAATCTTTAATCTCACCAGGTGGATTTCCACACTTCAAACCTAGGAGAATTCCTCTAAATTCATGTTCGGCAAATTTAAGGAGGTGTCAACACAGCGGCTTTCTATAATGTTGAAACGTGTTGTGTGAACGCAGCCAAAGAGGGTTTCTTACACAACTGGCAAATGAGGAAAATGTATAAGAAAAATAAAAATAAAAAAGAGAGAGGTCAAAACTCTGTTAACAGCATAGATTTGTTATGGCTATTTAGTTAATTTCAAGTATTTCCCAGCGGAATGGAACACAAATGGCAGTGTGTGTGTGTGTATGTTTGTGTGTGTGTGTTTAGGCTTTGGTTGTGCAGTTGTCGAAAGGGAAGAGTTGTGGTGTCTTCCCTGCTCAAAAGTGGAGGAAACATGCTGGTATCTCAAAACCACCACATCCAGATTAAAATCCTTACAGTTTGGAGAGCACAACTGCTGACTGGAACAGTTACTGTTAAAAAAATTTTTTTGGCATTATTATAGATTAATCTTTCAGTAATTTGCTTTTTTTAAAAAACACTGCAGGCATATATAAGAAGAGTCTTAAAAACATTGTTGGTTCTGTCTTCTGACGTATGATGTCTCCCCATGCATTGGGTATAAAACTCTTTTAACAGCTAAAGATTCAGGATAACAGAATGCAGGGATTTAATTATGTGGTGCACATTATTATATTATAATCCAATTTATTTGCTGCCCATCTCACGGTTGAAGGCGACTCTGAATGCATCGATCTAGACACAGCCAACAATTACAGATTATTTTTTTCACCCTGCCATCCCAGTCTTAGCAAACACAATGCTGATTTGTACACACTTCCTTAAACAAAAGGATCCTGGTTTTTTTTTAATTATTCACTTAATTCCACCAACATGGCCTTTTCTTCAAGACTTTTTGTGAAGGACATCATCCGATAATCGATGAAGAAAAAGGAGGTAAGTTAAATCAGGTAAAGATAGTATTGCCTTCACTATAAGTTGTGTGTGTGTGTTTTTAATACTGTCCATACATTGATCTCCAAGTTGTCTCTCTTCAATCCTAGAATCCTGATCAGCCCGGCAAACTAAATTGCAGAATTGGGGTTTTGACCCCTCACAAAATGTACCTGTGGACCACCTTATTTTGAACAGTTCTGTTTTTTTGTCCATAAACGTAGGCTTGTTTTTAATTATGATTTTCATCCAGGACCAATCTAGGCAAAACTGAATTATTCTTTTGAAAACAAGAACCTCCCAAGATGCTTGTTTTTCAAACCTGACATCAAAAACAGAGTTTCTAAAGTAATTTTTTTAATAAAATTCTCCACTGCTACATCTTCATTTTGGGATGAGTAGGAGTGAGAGAGACCTGTTTCTGCCCACTGCAGAGTTGTAAACATAAGATTTTTCTTAAGTTCCGTTGGAAGAAAGTATTTTCTCCTTCAGAAATTTAATTCTTATTTATCTGAACCTTCTTATTCTCCCTTGGGATGAGCTCAGGATAGATTTGTAGCAACAGACGAGATCTGTCTTCTTGAGGCCACTTAGCTTCTTATCGTACCTGAGGTGTTCAACGAATCTCACGATGGCATCTCGATGGTCTAAAAGTCAGTGGAACCTTCTGAAAATTACCAAATGGGTCTCAGGACTGACACTTCATGTTATGTACACGAAACATATGAAACCGTGGACTCCATAAAGACATCTTAAAGACCTCCTCCTGCGACTGATTGAGGCTTGCAACCATTTTCCAATTCCTGAGGTCTTCACCTCCTGGTGAGCATCAATGACATCAATCTGGAGGGCTAACTCTGTGCAATATACAAATTCATGGAGTGAAAATGGAGACCTGTGTTTTGGCAGTGGACAAAATAACATTTAAGGCTGTTTTCCCCCCAACATGGAATAATAGGGTTGGAAAGGACTGTTGAGGTCTTCTAGTCCAGCCTCCTGCCTAGCCTCAAGATCCATAATTCCCAGTTGACATAGGACTTCAGTGCAGAAGGGTTTTATGGGTCTTAGTGATGTTAGGAGCAGGTTTATGGAGATCGAATAAGCAGAAACTAAGTCTCTCTCGGCTGATCTCAAGAGCTAAGCAGGATCACACTTCATTATGGAGGACTTAAAACGGGAGCTGTAAAACCCCTGAGAGATGTAGATCTAGACAAGGAGACACAAAACGTTCTGGAAGAAAACAGTAGCAAATGAATTATACTAAAAAAAAAAACCTATTTCCAGATCAGTATGATCATCAAGACTGTGACCGCTTGAAGAGGTGTGGACTTCAACTCCCAGAATTCCCCAGCCAGGGTGAGGAATTCTGGGAGTTGAAGTCCACCAGCCTTCACATTGCTAAGGTTCAGAAATGCAGGCCTAACACGAACACTCTTTGTAGGGAAAGTGTTAAGAACTCCCCCTTTATTTGAATGAAGGAGGTATCTGAATTGCTCGCGCATATCTTCTCGCACTCTGGTCCAGGACACCTTCCTTATCGTTCCCATCACTGTTTCTGAAGCTCAGCAAACTTTTAACACACATATGGACTTCAAGTTCTAGAACTCTCCAGCCACGATGAATGGACTTCAACACCCAGAGTTCTCCAGCTGCGGACATTCCCGGCATTGAAGCCCACATATCTCCAAGCTACCAAATGCTGCTCTACGTGCCCCCATGAAACCATCAAGAGGAAACCTTGATTTCATTTAGACCTCGGTTATTACGAGTCATGATATTCATGTCAGCCACAGAGGAGAACGTACATTTTACTTCATCCGGGACATCTGGCTAGAAGACGAGACTAAGTGAATATTGGTCTCAAGGATCACGGCTCTTCTTGGGCTACATACAACATTTATAAAGCCGTACGGAAGAATGAAATGGGCAGGCATTTAGAGAAGCACCCTATCTCCATACAAGATATCTCGTCCAAGCCCTGGCTATTTTATTTTAGTGCTAACCTTTCTCCACAATGATTCAGTGAAGAACGTTTTCTATTGTTCTCCTGCCGGCTGGAGAATTCTGGGAGTTGAAGTCTACCATCTTCAAGGCTTAGAAAAACGGCTTTACAGCGACTAAATTCATTTTCCTCACGCTGCAACCTTTGGCAGGGCGCAATCCTTCATGAGACGTCCACCCTCTCTCCTGGAACTCATTTCTCAGGGGAGTTGCGTAGGAGGGAAAATAAAATAAAGATAAAATGCCATTCATCCCCAAAAGCACGATGTAGCTGAAGCCAACCCCAGAAAATGGCCCCATTTTCTTAGGAGAAAACCAAGTTTGCTTTCCAGAAATCGTTTTGCAGTGAACCCCACTGCCAAAGTTGCAGGTTAATGTTATCTCTAGTCACACTTACGTTAAGTTTTCAATTTTAAAATCTACCCTTCAACGGATTCGGCCCGCGATTTAGAACTACAACATTTTGGGAACATCTCCAGATTTTTGCCGTCCCTCCAAGGACCTGGAAATTAATTCGGTTTGGGATTATTCGTGCCCTCAAAATAAATCTTCCATCCACCAGGAAGAGACGTTATGGTTCAACCCCACAATTGCTTAGCGCGGGAGGGAAATCCTAACAGAGAGGTCTACGGCAGGCCACCATCCACACGTGATGGGGTCTTTTTCGTGAGCAACAGATGTCATTTATTTAAACCACGTTCCCATCTTACCACAATCACAGGGCAGGAGAGACAGGGGGAAAAGTGGTTAAAAAAAAAGATTTTAAAAAACCCTCCGATGCACCCTTTCTCCAGCCCAACTTCAAAAAAAAATTAAAAAGGACTCATCATCTAAATTATTTGGCAATAAGTTGGGAGAAGCAATCCTGTTCTCGATAGGAAGCAAAGATCAAAATAAAGAAGAGGGAGGACTCTGGTTCGTTAATTTTTGTTTTTAAAGGCAGCTTGTCAGAAGGAAGAAATGGAAACCTCGGACAAGCAAAGAGGACAAGGAGACATAGAAGGATAACGCGGTAAATGCCACCTGTTTCAAAAGGGGGAATTATACCTGAGATTCCCCAACCGTCAAGGCAGGTTGAGAAACTGGGCTTTTGGGCCAAAGTTTTATCGACAGGAATTTAATTCTGTTTCTTCTGGTCTCTCCGGAGCCTCGGGTCAAAGGATCCGTCTTGCCATCCAGCATCTGGTTTGAATCTTCCCTGGAAGAGGAACGCTAAACCTCAAGGGTGGGTTTTTTCCTCGCACGGACTTCTAGCGCAAAGATTCTGCTTTGCCCAGAAAATGAAAGATGGGATCGACCAAGCAAAGGGATCGAGAAAAGGCCTCTGGTGGACTACCAGTTGGTGTCTCACTTCAGCCTTCTTCTCGCCAGCAAAGAAGAGACCCACCACCACCTCCCCGACGCAAAGGACCCTTTGACCTGTTCCTCCTTCCTAAATCCATACGGAGTTTTTCCCGTCTTTGCCGTTGACGCTACCCTTCTCCGAACTGGTTTTGGGCTTGGCCCCATGCTTCTCTTGCGCGATGTTGGCCCGGTTTTGCTCCGCCATGGATCCACTGGAGCCCGGGCTGCTGGTTCTGGAGGGCTGGCTGTGCCCCTGAGTGCTGTTGTAGCTCTGGAACGCGATGTCCAGCTGCTCCTGAGCCACCCGCAAGTGTTTATGGAGGGTCGACAGATCGGGGGGGATGTTATCGTCGGGGCTGGTGCACTGCTGCTCCTGGACCACGTTGGCCAAGTTCTGCTCGTGGGCCATCAGGCTGTTGGGGAGCTTGGCCGGTTTGTCCGACTTGACCACCAAGTTGTACTCGGGTGGGCAGGAGATGTTCTTGGGGTAGGCAGCGTAATTGTACGGCGGCTGCCGGAAGCTGTGGATCTTCCGCTCGCGAATGGCGTCCCGGATGGTACCGATGCCCAGATGGCACATCTCCGCCAGGTTGAGCAAGAGACAAAGGCAGCTGACCACGTACATCACCAGGAGGAAGATGGTCTTCTCTGTGGGCCTGGACACAAAGCAGTCGACGTTGTGGGGGCAAGGGTCACGGGTGCAAAGATAGTAGGGCCGGACTTCAAAACCGTAGAGCATGTATTGGCCTATCAGGAAGCAGACTTCCAAGGAGGCCCTGGTGAGGAGCTGAAAGACGTAGATCTTCATCAGCCCTTCTTCTTGGATATGTCTCCGGCCATCGTGCTTCTGCCCCTTCTTCTTCTCCTCTTCCTTGGTCTTCTCCTTCTCTTCGTTCTCCACCATCTCCTCGGAGATCATGGGCTCTTCCTCGGCGCCCAAGGAGTCTTCCAGGTGGTGGGACGCCTGCCAGTTGAGGACGAACTGCTTCTTCTTCTTCTTGAAGCTCCGGAACCTCTTCTTCTCCTCCTCCGAGGACCTGGCGATCCGGTGGATGGCGTAGCCCAAGTAGATGACGGACGGGGTGGATATCATGATGATCTGGAAGACCCAGAAGCGGACGTGAGAAAGCGGGGCGAAGGCATCGTAGCAGACGTTGTCACAGCCCGGCTGTTTGGTGTTACAGGTGAACTTGCTCTGCTCGTCCGAGTAGATGGACTCGCCACCCACGGCTGTCAGGACGATGCGGAAGACGATGAGGACAGTCAACCAGATCTTCCCCACAAAAGTGGAGTGGTTGTGGATTTCTTCCAGCAGGCGGGTGAGGAAACTCCAGCTCATGTTGGTCATAAGGGCTGATCATTTACGGCCTGTAAGACAAAAACAGGGAGATGGGAATATATGAATTCGTCCGTTCCTTCATTCACTGAATCATTCATTCATTCATTCATTCATTCATTCATTCATTCTGTGCAGTCCAGTGGTGGGATTCAGCCGGTTCGCACCTGTATGAGCCGAAGTGGCGCAGTGGTTAAATGCAGCACTGCAGGCTACTTCAGCTGACTGCAGTTCTGCAGTTCGGCTGTTCAAATCTCACCGGCTCAGG